CTGTATTATTCTTATGTTGTTCGACTTTCAAGTAATCACAAATGGTCACAATCACTAAGCATACCAGTGATACAAGCAGAAATGTAATCCACATTTATATCATCAGGCCTATAAAAAAGGCATTTTTGTTTTCCTGCATCTTCACATTTCAAGTAAAAATGTGTCACTTATAGGAGTACACCAGTAACACTACATAATCAATTCAGGAACTATAATTGTTTATATTTGTGATAAACCGTGTACATATTCCAATATATGTATATATAATCACATTCATTACAAAACTTATTAAAAAAAAATAGGAGATAACATTTTCATTCTAAATTATAAAGGGACTACACTACACTTTACTGAGTCTATTATAACAAAGCCATTTAAATAGTGCTGGGAAGCCAGTCAAATTGTTTGGTCTAATAGAGATATGCATTAAAGCTTGTGTACTCTACCGAAGGACCCTAATATATTCCAAGACAAGAAGAAAACTTTACTCTCTTTGTGTCACTTTGTTACCTCTAAAACTCTTTTCCCAGAACATCCAACCACATTTAACAAGCTGATCAAGCTGTTGGTAATCAAATATTCCAGGGTATACTAAAATTAATAAATTGCACTGTACAAAATGCAATATAACACAGAATACTCATATTCACCAATGACACAACAGTTTGTGTTCTTTCTAAGGTTACTGAATTAAACTAAATGTTCTTTGGTATGCAAATTATTTGATGATAGGTGGTAAAGATGTAAAGTTTAATAATGTCTAAACTGTGTCATATATATATCACCCATGAAGCTGAGCCATTCTTGAGAAGCTGCCAATTGTGCAGCAATTGTCCCCAGGTGAGGACAGAAACAGATCCAGTTTCCGAAACGCAGTGTTTTTCTTAGTTATCTTAAAAACCAGGAGATGGATAAAGTCTGAAAACCCAATATCTTGACATCGGTTGTCCAGTGATTGAGGCTAGCTCTTTCTAAGGGACCCAACAGAATAGGTGTTTTCCCTCACGTGAGGACGGAAACAGATCCAGTATCCGAAACGTCGTGTTTTTCTTAGTTATCTTAAAAACCAGGATGATGGATGAAGTCCCAAAACCCAATATCTCTGTATATTACACAGTTTAGACATTATTAAACTCACTTATAATAATATATATATTAGATAAGTATTGTGTGCGTGTTTAACATTTAAAACCTATGGAAGAGTATGTTAATTTAAACCAACTGGAATCACATTCCAATGAGCAGATCACAAGTCTATAATTGGATTATTTCACCTGTCACTGTTATATAATGAATGGGCTCAAGTTCAAGTTCATAACAAAACGAGACACAATTAATTTTAATAAAAAGTAAAAATTAAGCACAGCTTTGCTTTTAAACAATATTGAAAAATACAAGTACATTTATATCACCCCGTTCTTCTGGGTTATGACACAGCACAGTTATGTGGTAAGTGGGTACCTACTAGGCCTTAACAATTAATTCTCAATGAATAATATTATATTTTTTCATATGTTGGTTGAAATATGAGAACCAACTCATTTCAGATGAAGTTACTCAGACAGGGTTTAAGGCTTGACCTAGACTGCTGCTTCTGCAAGTTAACAAACCAGAGGATGCCACAAACAAAAACTGGATGTAATACTTTCTTATGAGGCACTCTTCGTACAAACAATGCCTAGACAGAATGAGCACTGCATTAGCAATTGTGTGAAATTATAGAAGGAAGTGAGTTCTCACACTGGAAGCATATCCTTATTACTGGAAGGCAAGTTCACGGCCAAATTTCTTCACCGTTGGCTACTTTTAATCAGCAGTCTCCTTGTGGGAACTGATTCACACACATAATCTTGGGTCAAAAATGAATCCTCACTATTTCTCCCACAGTGAATGAACCAACCACCAATCCTGGCCTCTGTCCTGCAAAGACGAGACCTTTGTCCAATCAAAGAGTAGTTTATGCCAAATCAGAGAGATCACAGCTTAGCTGTAAACAGTGTCGTCGTGGGATTGCTGCTCACCTCTATAGCAGTCAACTTTTATATGGAATCTCTGCCTTATAACTGGCATCATGGACTGGTGTATAAAAAGTTGACAGACTTGTACAGATTACATGGATGATACATTTGTCATATGGAAACATGGAATGAAAGAGATACAGAATTTCCTTCAACATTTTAATAACATTCACCCATCATCAACTTCACTATGGAAGTAGAACAAAATAAGGCACTTTCTTAAGTGTCCTGGTGAGCAGCAGATCAGGCAATTAACCGGGATGTACTGTATTGAGGAAACGCACACAGATGGACGTAAACTTTCATGCCAGGTCTGAACAGCATTATATCATGGAAGCGGCTACACTAATCACTCACATTCGACAAACCAAGTCGATACACAATGATTGTCATATTGTAAAAATGAACCACCTGAAGAACTTTAGGCATAACAGATACAGCAATCATACTGTCGTGCATGCCCTTGTTGCAAAACAAAGGTCTCAAACACACAAGAAGTTGGCAAGCACAACAATGATACCATATCAGCAATGTGTCAAACAAAATGAGCAAGGTTCTTGCCAAATACAATTCACACTGCTTTGGAGACAAATATCTCAGATCTATAAAGGACAAGACAGGCCAAATGTTTCAGATACATGTTGCACTGAAAGTGCAGCAAGATGCATGTTGGAGAGACAGGCAGAGACCACAATGACCAGATGTAAGGGACACATGTGATATTATAGGCCTGGGCCAGCCAGAGAAGTCTATTGTGGCAAAGGACACATTTGACACAGGCCAAAATACTGACTTTAGCAACAACTCCACACTAGATAAAGAAACAGGACATGGACCACTTGATAAAAGTGGTATCAACAACAGACTTCAGACCAGAAACATATGATGGATGGAGTTTTTAGTCTCAGTTGGTCCTAATGCCCAGTAACTGACATGATCAAGCAATACAGAGAAGAACAAGCTCTGGACAAGACAAGAGAAGCAAAACACTTATGGCTCTGCCCTTTAGCTCCCTCCCACACCACTTTCTCATGCACTCAGTACTGATCACGAGCTATAAGTGATATATAGATGTGACAGCCTGGATTCACAGTCATATCAGATCCTGAGGAGGGGGACTGAGATGGCCTCTCAAACTTTAGTCACTTTTAACAAAATGACATGGCTGACAGCCCAAGAAGATTTTGCTAATTAAACTGTTGTTGGATCTGAGGCTCTCACAGTGTTGACTATGAAGTCTGATAGAAATTCAATGTTTCAGGGGAATGTTTGTGAACTTCTACAAGACTATTCAGCATCACACCCCACAGCATATGCCTGATGAAATATTCATCACAGTTAACACATATCCCTACTTCATCCCTTGCAGAAATGTCACAACTCTCTGTAAGTCTCTGTCTTTGACTGATCTGTTCACCTTAAAAATAGAAAACCTAGTGATATGAATTGTTCTGCAGAAGACATAACTTGACATATACCGTATTCAAACCCACAGCATTAATAGTGACTATGTCAGATTTTCACCCTATCACAAAACTTAAGTGTAAAATCTGTTAACAAGGAAGATCATTTAAAAGGGTTCTCTCCTGCATCCTCTGAAAAAATAATTATGCACTAAAGCAATTAAAATATTTTTATCTAGACTTAACTACAAAATGTTACCACACGTGGGAAATAAACAATCATACATTCACTAAAACAAGGTCTTTTACGTGACATTGTAACTCTTGATACCACATGTATAAGCTTAGTTGTGACATATAATGTGGTTTCTGGCCTTCTAAAAGAATGCAAAGTAAACATTTCCTAATATCCTAAACAATCACTTTTCCAAAAATATTGTTCTATAAGCATCTTACCTACCCTCCTCAAATGTTATAAAAGGTTATCATCTCCATTCAGCGTGACTGATAAATGTTTCTTTTTCTTTCCCTTTTTTAATCTAAGACCATCTGCAGAAGGACATTTCAAAACAAATGGAAACTACTATTACAATGTGATTGGTCAATATCAACACATACATACATACAATATCATTACAATGTCATGTCAACAATGAAAGATTAAAAAAAGATAGAAACAAATTATTAATCACACTGGATGGAGTTTATAACCTTTTATAATACTGCTAGTGAGACGGTTCAGGATGAACCAAATCAAACTCCTCAAATGTATCAACCATTTAAGTGTAATCAATACATCTTGAGATCTACAAACATCTATATACTATATTCAGGATTTCTATGAAGTAAGACATCAAAAACACTGGCCAGGACAGGATATCTCATTGGCTTTCTATTGGAAGATGGCTCAGGAAATACCTCTGAGTGAGGTCCATGCCATTATGATCATTACTCAGAATCAAATTTGGCAAGCTGTGAAACTTGTGAAAGCTGCCATGTGATTATGAACTACGCATGTTACATGCCTGACTCTGATCCTCATTTATATTTGCTTCTGCTCCTGGCATGTCCTAAACAGACTACAGGCTAGTGCACATGTGCCAGCTGTCCTATAGATCGAAGAAAAAAATAAATGCACAATGTTTGTAATCTATTCTACTCTACACAGTAACCACACTGCCTGATAACCAAAATGTAATTAAGAGACTAGATATACATAGAAAAATACAGTATTACTGAAAAGACAAATATCAGTATAGACTTAAATGTAATACCTGATAGTAAAGATCAGTTTCTGTCACAGGCAAAGTAACTGAAATAGGCAGTATCTTCAAGCCCTGATATGTGGAAATAAAGTAAAGGTATCCCTGTAACATGCCGTGGAGGCCCATAGGGTTGTGAGATGTTGAGGCTCTCACATTTTCTAGACAATCGGCTCACAGGTGGCGGTGAGGTTGTCAGCCTTATGCGTGGGCCGCCCTTTACCCCCAGGAATATTCCTGGTACATTTCTGTTAGAGGCTGAGTCGACCCCAAGGCCATAGTGCAGCTGGAAGAATTAGGTAAATTGAAAAAAAAAAATCCACCTCATTTGGATTCGATCCCATGACCTTCCAGCTTGTAGCATAGTGCCTCAACGAACTATGCTACTGAGTGCCCTGATATGTGGAAATAACATATATAAAATAAGATAACATAATATAAAACTCCCTTCGAGGAACAATAAACTCTATGTTCATCCATACCATATATTTACTGTATCTCATTCATATCAGCATTCATCATCCTATGTGGAACATAACCATACTCCTTTCGTACATCATGCAAGTATTTCCATATTGCAATACAAGCATAACTTGTCACTTTGTACATTCTACACTGTTAACCCTTTCATAACATATATCATCACTGCTCAGCACTCAACCTGAATAAAAAGATCACAGTTTCTTTATTGGTGTATTTAAAAGTTCTGTATCAACTGTGTACATTATGGAGCATCAAAGACAGGATAATTATAAATGATATGTAACTGTGCTTAATACTTTCCATGTAAAAACAGACAATCCCTATACATCATATAATTTCCACAGGTTTAAACTGTCAACAGCCAGCAGGAGAATGGCCCTGTCACAGTGACCACATTCAGAACAGAGCTGGGTAAGCTATATTGAGATACTTCATTTACAGTATGACAATATCCAACATAGAGATGTTACGTTATTTGAACATGATAATCAAATATCAACATACTCATGTACTGAAGTGGGAAATAGTCACTGTATAGATCAAGTTTTGTTATGGCCACAGTTCCTGAGTTTGCTCAAAGGCTGTACAGGAAGCATATGCCAAGCATACATGGGTTTTAAACGTAGGATCAGGATACTGAATATGCAACTGTAATATATTCATAACTAAATAGTTTGAGTTTCTACACACTTTATCTTTTCAGTCATAATGCAAATATTTGTGCTTTTGCTAATAGCTCCTAATGCATTATGTGAAATTATCTGTCACCAAATTTAGCCATGTGCAATTACTATAACATAACCTTTGGGAGTGTACAACCCTCTTTTTTTATAAAATACATTTATAATTATAAAAAATAGCGCCACTGATATGATTATAATTAATTAATTATCATTAATATTGGTTGTGGAGAAATGAAACCACTCATTGTCATTGCCTGAGTTGACCATGATGCTAGAAAGTACTGCCTAATATTCTTGTGCTTTCTGGAGTTTCAGATCTCTTGGAAGTGCAAATCATTATCATGGAAGCACAAAGAAAAACTATTCCTCGACTATTATGCTTGTGATACAAATGTGCAGAAAATGTACCTCATGGGCATGACTGACATTTGCTCTGTGCAATGCTGACACCATGGACCTTATGTATATGCATGTAATAGTCAAAGATGAGCCAGCAATGTGAACAGAATTTCAAAGGAAGAAACGTTCACTATTAACATTTGTAGAATTACTACAGAAACACTTAAACAATATTTTTTTTTTAATTTCTGGGATGTAGGACTTCATTATATTCATGTCTACCTGTTCTCTTCTATAATAAGTGTATTTCATAAGAATTTCTGTCACCTTTACTTCTTAGCCTACTTTCCTAAAGTAGGCTTATGTGATCTTCTATTATCACATTTATATATTTATATCTTATCCAACAATTACACTGTTAAGAAGTTATCATCAGTGAGTACATAAAGCTCCAGAGATCCTTCTGTGCAATCATCTAATGTCAAATTGATCCGGAGAAGTGTTGGTTCGTGGTTAAGTGGTGCAGGGATTCCAACCTGTCCAAGGAAGGTGTCTCTAAGCAATGTCTGATGACTGTAAACCTGTAGCAAAAGCAGGACTTAATGAATGGTGGATGCAACAATGAAAATAAACTTTTTACAAAATATCTGTCATAAATGTTTGAAGAATGCTAAAATCATGTGAAAATTATGTGCAATATTTTACATTTAAGTTCTTTGTTCTTGCTGGTTTATCATTACTCTAGTCAGCACTGTCTTCTGGAATGTCTGTGGGTCTCATGATAATGATGCCAAACATAAGAGCACAAGCAGTGTTTCAATAAAAAATATCTAATATGTTATAATGTAATATGTACATATTATCTGGCTAATAAAGAAGGGCACAAAATAACAACTTATTCATTACTTTCCCACCTTCCCATATAAAAGTGTGGTTACTTTAACTAGTACACAATTCAGTTCCATAAACATCTAAATTTATCAAAGAGTGAGAGTGTTGCCTTGATACCTGCTTATGTTTAATTTAACACTTTGCGGACCGGTGGCATATTTTTATGCCCAGCACTTTTAAACATGGCGGGCCGGTGGCATATTATTATGATTTTAGGACACATTATGTTGAAACACACTACACCTTGCACTAGTGCCAGGCAGACGCATGACTGGTGCGTGATAGACCTCTTGAATGTTTGCTTTGTAGTCAGTAACATGACCCCACTGTTTTCCTTTCCCACTCCAAAAGAAAATGCCTTTGTTCATCTTCCAGCTGCATGCACCAGGCGGGAAGTTACTAGTGCAAAATGGATCAAGGTCAGAAGAGGTTGAGGTCCAAGCGTTTTCTTGAAGAACAAGAAATATCTGACTTGTTTTCCGATGAGCTATCTGATGTCCCTTGTGAGTCTGCTAGTGACAGCGACTCACAATCTGATAGAGTGTGTGGCAGGGGCGAACAAAAAACTGTGGCCACAAACAGTGAAAGTGACAGTAGCTCCAACAAAAGTGTGGGTAGCAACATTGCGGGGACAGACACATGGGGAAAAGTAGACAAAATGCCTCCTTTGGGACAGTTTACTGGAAATCCAGGGGTGAAGCAAATTCCATCGGATCCAGCACAAGTGTCTGAAGTAGCAAACTGTTTTTTGGAGATAGTTTCTTTGATATGCTATGTCAGGAAACTAACAGATACTATCCCCAGCACCATGAACATTATGACAGAAGTTATAAGGTGTTGAAATGGGTAGATGTCACTTCAGCAGAAATGATAAAATTTTTTGCAATAATCTTTCTAATGGGCCACACAAGGAGGGATAATCTGAAAGAGTATTGGTCACCAGATCCATTTTTAGAAATTCCAATTTTCAGCAAACTAATGAGCCATAAGAGAAAAGTACGTATTTGTGGAACAATTAGGGTGAACAGAGGCCTTCCTCCAGATCTGAAGGAGGAATGTAAATCCCTGAAACATGGTGAAACTACATTCAGGAGGAAGGGGGGATATTCTTCTTCAGTCCTGGAGGGATACTCGTGTTGTGATTATGATTTCCACAATTCACAATTCGAGCATGGATGATGTTCAAAGGAGACATGGACAGGTAAAGAAGCCTGTTTGTATTTCCGAGTATAATATGTTCATGAAGGGAGTTGACAGAGCCAATCAGTACTTGGCCTATTATTCTCTTCATTGGAAAACAGTAAAGTGGACAAAGAAAGTTGCCTTGTGGCTTATAAATTGTGCCATTTTCAATTCATTTTTGGTTTCCAAAAATCTAAACCCTCATTCAAAATTGAAATACAAGGCATTTCTGCAGAATGTGGCACAGGCCAGACGGTGGCAGTAGACATAGACTTATTGCGACCGGGTCCATCAACTCCCACCCCACACAGGCCTCATGTGGACCCCCCTGGGCGACTCTCGGGTGATATGCGGAAACATACCCTCGTGAAAATTGTGAAGAGTGAACATGCCAAGGGGAAGCAGCCATCTAGGCGATGCTGTATTTGCGCAGTACACAACAAAAGGAGTATGACTGTCTATATGTGCAAGTTCTGTGTAATGCCACTTCACAAAGGGGAATGTTTCCCGAAATATCACACTCTCAAGCACTTCTAGGAGCATTGGTAAGTGTTCTCCAAAAATTTTAGTTCATAAAATTAATTAGGAGATTTTATATTAATTTTTAAAGTGAACAGTGCACAAGTTAGGGCAGTAGGTTTAAAAATGCCGGTCCCCAGGGTGATTTAAATATTTAAATCGCTGGTCCGCGAAGTGTTAACAAAACAATCATTCTTATGGCACTTTGCTAGCTAAACTCAAGCACTGCAGACTGCTAACATTACAGCCTCAAGTCAAGCACACACTTCAAATGACGTTGGGGATCCTATGACTATGTCCTCTACAGGAACATACTGATTAATGCAGTGAAAGTAACTAACCGTAACTTGCTGGAAAACTGCATGAATCTTAAGAAATTCTCAAAATTTGCAGTTTTAAAATAAAAATACCTATGATATAACATTTAATTTGATCTTCAAGTGTTCAAAAGACAAAGTATCACCAAGCTTGTAATCAGCACATATTTCCCAGGCCAATAAAGACATATATGTTGAAGGCACAAGTAAAAGACTACCTATGATATAACATTTAATTTGATCTTCAAGTGTTCAAAAGACAAAGTATCACCAAGCTTGTAATCAGCACATATTTCCCAGGCCAATAAAGACATATATGTTGAAGGCACAAGTAAAAGACAATGTTAATTTGTCTATCTGAATGCCAAGAACTTCTTCCTGGGGGTCTGAACGTTAGACTGTAAAGCAAATACTCTATCTGATAGTTAGACATCTAAGGGGTACAATTTAGACTGCTTCCAGAAGTGGTGTGGTAGCTAATATAAATGTTTAAGAGCAAAAGGGAACTACAGTTAACTGAAATACAAGTGTGGCTTATGATTCTTTTTATTGCTAGTGGGGTGGGACTAAGTCCCTTGTACTGAGGCCACTTCTGGCCTATTGTACCAGCCCCAGATGATAGGTGAGGGTGACTGTGGAGCAATTGGTGGAATGAAGATTGGCAGGGGAAACCGAAGTACTCAGAGAAAACCTGCCCCAACACCACTTTGACCACCACAAATCCCACTTGACCAGACCCGGGATCGAACCCAGGCCCCCACGGTGGGAAGCCAGTGACTAACCGCTTGAGCTATGGCGTGGTGACTTGTGATGAACACTTCATTATAGTGAAAACATCATCAGCACCAATAAGTTCATTAACATCACATACACTTAAAAATCTCACATAAAATAGGACTTCTTTCCAACATTTTCATAGTGATGAACGGTTCCTAACTAACAAAAACTTGTTCCATAACATTCTGCATCAACTGCATTCACAGTTTTGCCTCCCAAGCTGTTTACAGCAGCCATTCCATGATGAGAGCCTCTCTCTTTTTGAGGCGAAGCAAGGCTGTGTTTCAGAATTCAAGTACAAAATGTATGAATACAGAATTCATTTGACCCTGAGATATAAATGCTTAGTGTGTGTGTGTGTGTGTGTGTGTGTGTGTGTGTGTGTGTGCAGAGCCACCTTAAAGGGAACTAAAAATAAACCATTGGCCAACTCCTCGCTGTTACATGGTGACAGAGGAGGACAATGGTTATTAGGATCATATTTAGCACAACTGTATGGCCAAGGGGTCCAGTACTCATCAAGTTTTAGCTAATGAAACCTGTCCACAGTGTGACATCACATAAACTTCTCCTCAGTCCAACAGTTTGTGTCACTGTAAACTGTGCCATGAGGACAGCAAATGGGAATTGAAATGTTCCCATGATTCTTCTGTATGATGTCAAGTTAGAGTTTTAAATGGCAGGTGACCCTGCTTGTGTTTAGAACTGGATAGTGACATAATGTATTACTTACTTACTTACTCACTCATGGAGCTGAGCCCTTCTTGTGGAGCCACCAATTCTGCAGCTACTCAAGAATTTCCCAGCATTTTATGGAACCCGAAGGTTCATTACCATGTTCATAAGAGCCCTCCACTGGTCCCTATCCTGAGCCAGATCTATCCAATCCATACCATCCCATTATATCTCTCTAAGATCCATTCTAACATTGTCCACCCACCTATGCCTTGGTCTTCCCTGTGGTCTCTTTCCTTCTGGTTTTCCCACCAATATCCTATACGCATTCCTCGTTTCCCCCATTCATGCTACATGACATGCCCACCTCATCCTCCTTGGCTTGATCATTCTAATTATACTCGGAGAAGAGTACAAGTTATGAAGTTCCTCATTATGCTGTTTTCTCCAACCTCCTGTCATTTCTTCTCTCTTCAGTCCAAATATTTTCCTCAACACCCTGTTCTCAAACACTCTCAGTCTATGTTCCTCCCTTAATGTTAGAGACCAAGTTTCACACCCATACAGAACCACAGGCAAAATTATAGTTTTCTATATTCTAATTTTTATGTTTCTGGACAGCAGACAAGAAGACAAAAGGTTCTGGACTGAATGGTAGCAAGCATTACCAGAGTTCAATCTCCTCTTAATTTCCTCCTGAATCAGGTTTCAATCTGTTATCATTGTTCCCAAACACATACATATATTATAATTTTTGTCCACAATCAACGACAGCCTACTGACAACAAGGTTCAACATTTCCAGAGACCAATACTGCTATAAAAGAATAATTTTACCAACAGTGCCTCTCAAGCAGAAATAGGAGCAAATGTAAATAATAATACCATACTTGCAACTTACCTTAATTGTCAGTGGTTTGGAAGGTGAAGACCGGTAAAACACGAAGGATGAATTCCATAGAGGATTTTCAGTATTCCTCACAACTGGTGTCTTAGCTTTCTTACCTTCACAAGTAATGACGCAATATGGATTGCATCCTGAAAAGATTTAGATTCAGAAATCTGCTTACATCATAATAAAGACATAATGTGGTGTACCATATTTCCTCATATGGTTTCTCTCCCTTTCTAATCAATTCTTTCAACTACAGAAAAGGAAGCAGGGAAATACATGATGCATGATGCAGATGTAACAGAACGGTCTAATGAACAAAAAAACAAGCTGTGCAATAACACACCTGGAGAGAAATATATAGTTCTAAACAAGTGGATGACACCCCTTGTGAGGTGGAATAGAATTTCGTCAAAGTAATGAAAATTTTAATGGATTTTATTACATCATATTATATTAAGTGGACTACAGTGTGTGATTTTAGCACATATTAATGCAGTGTAGCATTTTTAATATATTGACATGTTGGGTATATGTCACACAAGACAAGTAACTTCAAGCCTTCTTTGATATAGCGAATTTATTGAACACTCGCTCTTACAATCACACAATTTACAATCTCAACATTACTGCCATTGGCAGTATCACAAATACTCGGGCAAAAGATAGACACCAACTGACTGGTTACTCTCTCTCTAGTAACTCACTCACTAGTAACTAGCTAAATACTCACTACACTGTAACTGGCTAATCACTCACTACTCACTAACTAGTGAATAGTATTCGCTGCTCCTTATTTAGCCTCGGCACAGACAGTTATGTGATAGGTACTCCTGTTGCCCGACGCCGTGTTTACAGGTTGCCTAGCAACACTGTCGAGAGTTGTTTACTGTTCTGTAGCAACCGCAGCATCCCTTGGTAACGTCACCGCGGGAGGGGGTGGGGTGTTGACTGGCCTGTTACCGTAGCAGTGACAACGCTCCGAAGGTGTTACATCACCGCTGGTGAGGGAGGGGGTGTCTGCATAGCCCAAATATGTCACAATATTAAGACACCTGAAGATGGCCATCTAGGGCCAAAACATGTTGTGTTACAAGTGTAAGTGGAGGAAAAGGAACAACTTGTTACATTATTGAAGGACTATGTTATTCACAGATGTCTTAATATGGCTTGCAACAGGATGCTTAAATACAGAACTACATCTCCAGCCAAGAGTGGTTCAAACAAATGTCTTTTGATAAATCTGGCAAAGGAAAATACAAATGCATAATAAATGTATCTTATCAATGCATGAACATTGATCCTGTTGCAGTGGATAAGGTCATAGGTAAAAATATTCTGGTTCCAACATATGAAACCCAGTGTCATTAGAATATATATACTACAGAGCTTCAAATACTTACCCCCAGTGTTTCTTTTCAGATTTTCTCCAGACTTAATGTTGATGACAGTGACCCAAAGAGCATTGTGCCCAATGCAAGCAAAGATATTCCTCCGAGGTTCATCACGTTTGACAACTCTACGAGGAAAAACAACAAGGAACATGAATAAGAACCATTGATGTCTGTCATTACAATTAGCCAATTTTTCTTATTTTATAAAGACAAACAGACTTCCGATATCACATATGTATATCCATAAGAACTTCTGATTTAATGGATGGATCTTTATGAAACTTGGTATGAATGTCATGCCATTAAAGGCTATTCCATATTTATACTTTCAATTTCCTACTGTCACCAAATCCAGATGGAAGCCATAAATGAGCAAAATTATAATTCTGCATATTCTAATTTTTATGGTTTTAGAGAGCAGACAAGAAGACAAAAGGTCCTGGACTGAATGGTACTAAGCATTACACAAATTCCATCTCTTCTTAAGATCCCCCTGAATCAAATTTCTATTTGTTACTGTCATGTTCACATATTTGAACTGTGCCACATTTTAAAGATCTATTAGCATGATTTTTATCAACGAATACATTACTTTTTTTTACATTACACTGCATTGCATTCCATGGATTCAAAGTTAGTCAAAATGGCTGTAGGATGTAGAATATGTCATATAAATACTAAACATATGTACAGTCCCAATGGAGTTCTCACACAAGAGAAACCAAGAATACATAGTGACTACACACAAGGCTATTTAAAGATACATAAGTTATTTTTTAGATAATATGTATTCATCAACAGAATAGAATGAATGTGTATTTAAGTATCGTTTCAGTGCTACTTTAAATCATGTCTTTTCGTTCATAAGACATTTGAGATCAGATGACAGGTTATTAAAAATTTTTNCCGAAGTTTGGCACATTCCTCCTGGGACACCCTGTATATATATATTCACAAGGAAAAGTTAGGATCTACAGTCTCTTAAATAGATCTCTACAGTAATTATGGCATTTGACACCCATCATGATTCTAACAATTTTCTTTTGCAATGTAAATACCTTTTTACTGGCAGATGAATTACCCCAGAAAATTATTCCATATTTCATTAAAGAGTGAAAGTAATGAAAATAATCTAAAGGAAGTTCTTTCTTGCCTTAAATTGATATCTGAGTCTGAAAACATGCGAACCATATGACCTCCAGTTTCTTCAGCTTTGTATGTTGAAGGGATGATGATGTACCGTCCTCTGCATAAATAACCACGATAATACAGTTCACGTCTGCGTATGTGGTCAACTGCAATGACTGTTGGCAGGTAATGCCACTGCTTATGTAACCGATACTTTCTGTTTTCCTCTACCTGACAAGAAAAAGTAATTACATTTTATATACGGTATATTCTTTACATGGAACTGTATAGAATGAGCATGCCTTGAAGGGTGTGTCTAACCAACTGTCCATGTTTCACTTCTGTAAACACCAAACAGATTTTATTGAATTTGGTAATGGTCGGATGATGGGTCTGCAGTGAAAGTTCTTGAAAGAATTTATGTTTAGTCCATTTCAGTCAAACACAATCCCCACTTTACACCCAGCTCAAATCAAACTTTTTGAGCTTCTTAGAAACAATTCATTGTATAAAGAATTTGTATACACCACAAAATACAGATCTCACTGAGATGTGAAAGTCTTATTCGGAACATTTAATAAAATATAAGGACTAAATAAGTTCTCATTCATGCACTGTAACATGTAGTGTGATTAGCTTTGCCCCAATACATTTGCATCTGTAATAAGTAAACCTCAAAATGAAAGAGATATGCATAATCACAAAGAAGGCACTTGGAAAATATGTAGACTCAATGGAGTATATATTTCAACTCTTTTTCTCTATGAGAAGGAAAATAGGCAATTTATCAACAAAATAATAATTTATTGCATATAAATATACTACCCATTGCAAAACCTAGTATATGATCTTATCGCCTCATTCATTAACATATAAATAGGACATTCCTGAACAAAGCATAACTTTCCTGATCTTAGACATTATATAGTGAAACAACTATTATATAAGCTTGTAATTTTAGAGTATTCATGCATACATAATTACTTACACTTAACACTAACATACCAACCAGTTATCATCTAGAAATATTAACTACTGATATCTATCAAACAAATAAATGAACGACTAGTTTTCATATCTCACATGGCACAAAAGTCACTTCCCTGCACTGAGCTGGCAAGTGCAAGAGCCTGCCCCCCCCATTAAAGTTATATGTGATCATGCAACAATGCAGAAACAAACAATTCAGTGTGTCCTGTATCTCACTTTTATGACTATGAAGCCTATGAGATGACGCTGCAGCCCAACTGTTCCAGGAGGCCCAACAGAAGAATCCTGCAACATCTGTATCACAATTTCTTCCTCCTTCTTCTTGATGTCAAACATGTACTGCAACATCACAAGACAGAACAAAGCAGCATCCTGAATAGGTCATATTTTTAAACAATATGAACACTGTAACAATAAGTAAGGACACAGTATATGTCAGTATCTCTTGTGGTGCTCAGCTCTGGTAAGTTGAAGACATTACATGATGAAGAAACTGAAAGTCACTCTGAGACTGTTTACTGCTTGTTTTAAAACATAGAATTTCTATGTCTGAAAACAAAGGGCTCAGAAAGATATCTGGGTCTAAGCAATATTAAGAAAATGTGAACTGAAAAGGAACAAGATAAATGTGTTAACTTATATATACTCCACTAGACACTTCACGCACACATATTTCAACAAACCTAACAAGTTCCTAAGGTATTCTAAATTCAGTCATAGTACTGCCCCCTTAACTGAAACATAGGTACCTTGCAACATTTGTAAATAACCAAATCTCTTATCCATTCTTTCTCTAATATTTGCCAAATGTTAAATATTTTATTAACTGTTACCCTATTCCATGCTGATGATACCCAGTAATTTCACTTTATGAATGATACTAGAAATATAAATAAAATTATGCACATACCAGACACAGGATATATTATTTTTAAAGTTAGTGCCACTGTTTTCCTTTTCTGTTTTAAAAATAATGGATTCTTTCCATTCTTACTCTTCCCTAATCAAAGCAAAGGCAATATGAATATGTAGGGCTCTCTTCCTGCCACTTCATACACCAGTACAAAATTCATGTATACCACAAACTTGTTAACAGGCACACATCTGCCAGTGTAGTGCGTGTTCAATCTTAAGGGGAAAGCTAAGCATGAGCATGAACACCAGGTTTATGTATCTCTGACTGCAGTGTCCTGCATCCCGCTTACAGCAATTTGACTGGAATTAAACTAAAATATGCAGTTCATGATATTTCAATTTTTCACTAACAATTTCAATTTAATTTAAGCTGGATACCCAAGAATCTTGTTCTGAGCCTGCAATTAGTAACTGAAAACATCCACTGGTGATGCTGGGTCACACGGTAAAATAATTAGTAAATAGTGAATCGGAACAGACATGAAAAATTGGTCTTAACCTAATTTGGGGTACTATCCCAGCACATTCCAGAATGGACTGAGGAAAAACACAAACACATGTGTTAGCAGCCAGTCTCTGGGGCTAAGAATTGAACCCAGGACCTGCTGCATAAAAACAGGAGTGCTATCCACTCAGTGTCTCCATGTTAAGTGGGTCCTTTGTCACCACAGCATGACACAACTCTGGACTATGGACAGAGAATACAGCCTCCAGATAAAGAGGGTAGCATTGAATATACTGAATAAGCAGTCATGGACAGCCTCAGGCCTGGCAGGCTCTTGTGGAAAGAGTACGGAACCTGCTTATACCATAACAGGTGGGAAATTTTGTGATTAGCTGAGGGACTGTTAGCTTCTCAAGGACTCTGCTCCATCATGCTACTTAGTAAAGGTACCTATGTTTTTTGTACAACTGTAAGGAACTTCCTCTTTGAAGAGTCTTATCGAACATCAAAGACATATTTCAGAGAGTAATTAATGGTAGCTCTTATGAACATGTCCACATTCAAGGTCACTCAAAGACTAGTACCACCAGTTCAGGAAAACCTGGGGTTCATAGTGCAAGCTGGGTGTATAAGGAAAGTCTCCCCTGTCTTACAATCTGTTAATAGCAAGAGAGGATATCACAACAGAACAGAGCTTTCTTTGGGACCATAACATATATGCAGAGAAACCTTAAAATTGAGAATCCTTAAATCAGGACTCCACATTATCCATACTGTTGTGACTTAATGTCATACTGTCATTGATTACCTACAACTACTAACACACTGAAGACCATCATCACCATTCAACACAACTTCCTGTCATGTCCTCATTGTCACAACACATCCTAATGGATGCAAGGCTTCTAGAAACTTTTAAATTATTGTCCACAATGTATGTATGCCCTTTCATTTATAGGCTGACCTCATTAGGTATCATGGACTTTCAACAGTTCCACTAGAAGGCATGTAAGTACAAAAATATTGCAATCACACCATAGCCAAGGCATATTTTTCTGAGATGGAGGAATATAAAAAAGCACTGGCTGGATAATAAGGAATTGGTTTCAGGCAGTACTTCTGATTTGGATATAAATAAATCTAACAGATAAATCAATTCAATTCTTTATTTATCTATGTGTTTACTCAACAGCCTAAGGTCAGTTATAAAGTATGAGGAAAAGAAAGAAACAAAAGAAACATATATGCACAAACAAAAAACAAAACAAGGCACTTAAACATCACTTAAACAATAACAAAAATTCAAAAAGTGTAATCATATTTCAAGGATATACATTCATACTGAATACAATCAAAATTTTAATAAGTAAGAAAGTATGATCATAACACATCATTAAGAGAATCAGTTTTGGTACCAAATAGATCAATGTTGCTGTAAATAACATGCCCAGCTCAAGTGCACCTAGCAGAAGGGCAATTATTTCTTAAAAGCAGATACCGAACATCGTAAAGTCACACAAAGCAGGATCTCCAAGACCAACAGTTTCCAAAAGAGGACAGGCTTAGTGTCAGTAGCCACCCATCTTGGACCCCACCCTCTGGGGGGATAGTCAAAAGCAGGAGGTGGGATGAGCAACCCAGTATCCACTCATAATTGTGTTACAGTAGCTGACAAATGTAATGTACATTCATTCACTGACTCACACTTACTGTACAATAAATAAACCCGGTACACATTCTGTTGCACTACCAACTGATAAGAAGCAGTCTGTAAGCAATTATAACTCATCATTTGGCAGCACAGTTATAATTCCTAAATAAATATAGGATTAGCAGGAAATAAGGCAACAGGAAATATTTATGTACCTGTGGGTTCCTGAGATAGGTATTTATAAAGGTGGGACCACCACCGCTTCTATCTTGTGAGGTTCCTTTTGCGCCTACACTCCATTCCCCTTTCACAACCATCTCATACCAAGTTCGTGAGATGGCAAACACGTTGGTATTAAACAGTCTACAGATGATAAGCTCATTGAAGTTACTCACAAAGTCTTCCAAGGGCATCCTGAGACAATAAATTCCAAGAATAAGAGACTACTTTCAAAAGAGAGTCTCTAAATTTCTTTGTTACATTCATGATACCAGACACAAAGAAAATATTAAGGTGTGTGGTGTGAGGGAGGGGTGAAAATGAAATGATAAAAAATCAAAATATGAAGACTTGCATTCAATGCTCCTCTCTTGGTTATTCAGCTCTGTGCAGTGACAAGTTCTACATGCACAACTGGGGAGGATGGATAAGCAGTAATATTCTAGCAGACTCATACTCAAGAGACACCTAGTACACATCTTGGTTATGTTACTGAAACTTTTCAACTGACTTTCTCCTGGTTTTTGTTAATCTTTCTATATGAATGCCATGGTACTACCTCAGGGGGGGGGGCACATGGTAGCGACTCAGACTCTAACAGAAAGGAGTACCAGGAATTAATTAAATAATTTTCCTGGGGAGTAAAGCGTGGCCGACACATAAGGCTGACAACCTTACCGCCATCTGTGAGCTGACTGTCTAGAAAATGTGGGAGCCTCGACATCTCACAACCCTATGGGCCTTCACAGCCTGGTACAGGGAGAGCGCTTTACTTTTACTTTTATGGTACTACCTCATACAGACCGTGTCCATCTCCTACCAAATATTTAACCACTCAACATTCATTATCATCCGTCTATCTCATTTTATGTTATATACCAACTGCAACTAAAACAGCCATTAAAAGCCTAATAACCACTCAATCAATAAATCTACATGAGTCAATACACTTTTAATCTGGCAAACAAGAATGCGCTCTACATCCAATGACAGTGTCTGCTTTATGGCAGTGCTCATATGTGTCTCGACTTTTGGTGACACAAACAAGACTTATACCAGATGGAAGATGAATGACCAAGAATACACTGAGCGCCAGCTTCATCCACATTCTTCCAATTTATGAAATCATGCTCCTCCACATCACATAAAGCTGTACAGTAAACATAAGCCCACAGAGAAAGGTTATCATTTGCTGTCTCATAACTAAATCTTTCTTCACTGAAGAAAGAAGGGCGGCATGTAGCATTCAAAAAAAGACATTCACTTATAATTTAGTCTGAACATTCTGTATATCTAACAACAAAAATGGAAGTGACGATTTTTGTAATGTAAATACTGCTTCCGAGTTTCTAAGGAAAACATCGATGCACTTTTTATGCAACAGCACATGACCTTTTCCTCATTTCATTAAAAGCCATAAAAAAGAGCAACACAGAAATGATTTACTAATAGAGAGAGTACCAGAGATGATAAAATTTCTAACAATTCATGCAAGTATCTCCAATAATGTATATATGTTTAAGAAACAAGACAAATAGAATATGACCATAGTGACTACTAAAAAACTATGTACTTTCTATAAGAAACACACAATTACAATACACCTTCAACCAACAAACTACCAAAGTACAAGTACTCCTCAACTTACATGAGAGCTGTCTCTCCACAAAAAAAAAATGCAGACAGTAAAACTATAAACTGAACATAACCTGCCCATAATAATCAATGGAAATGTCTGAAAGCTAACGGAAACTTATCAGAATGTTCATGCTGTTACTGAAACTGTCTGTCTTGTGCAGTACAGTACAACCTATTTTTATTTTAATGGTATTTACATCATTTCACTGTGAATACATTATTCATAATTATTTATTTTAAAAAAATAATCCTGCATGTTGGCTGAAAAGTGGAACTGCATAACGTCCTTGAAAAATATGCGGAAAACTTGAAAGATGAATCAAAATCACTTGCTTAGTTCTCCCAAGACACACTCTAAACACACAAAATACACATTACACACACATTCTCCCGCTTTCTCCCCCCCCATGTTATGAAATGCATCATTAAAATAATATGTTTTCAACACTGTTAAAAAGCTTTTACATATCAGGAAGAGTGTATATTGATAATAAAGAAATAATAAAAATTAACACACACCAATATCACAAAGATGACCAGCTAGTTAATGGATCAGTGCGTGATCTGATGGATGAGTCAAGAGTTACATGGGATATGGATGAAAATGATAATGAAGCATGTGACTACAAAAGTAGAGAGCGAACTCAACTGACTCTAAGAATCAGGAACATTACGTTTTGCATTTATGGCTATTGAAGTTGATGGTCAAATTTCATCAAAGGTATTTAATAATCTGTTTGCCATTACTTCTTTACAAAAATTTTCTATAGTTACTACCCAGCCTCTGACTTCTCTTGCAACAGTAAAGGACAGCACAGGCTTCTCAGCTGGTTCAAATTTCCCTGTCACCCTTTGTATTCCTCCTCCACTGCCTCCCACACAGCAGTCTGCATGATTGGCCAGCAAGCAATTTGCAATTAAGTAAGCACCATTAAATGAAATTGGTCTGATTAGCTGGCCACATTAAAATGAGATCATATTTTCAAACTTGCGTAACATGAGGAATACCTGTACCAATAGCTACCACAAGCTGATCACACTAGTTACATGCTTGTAATAATGCCATATAAAATATAATGACATTCAATACTGGAATGGGTTTTACCATGCATAAATTGTTAATAGCGTGAATAGTTTTACATTTTCATAAATGTCAATATGAACCATGATCAAACCAGTCACATGTGCTCTCTTCCCAAGTTCACACATTTTGCATTTTAATTAAACTCTGACATTTTGACATACGTGAAGAAGAACACAAGGCAAAAATAACAACACATACAATCAGTGAAAGTGTAATATGATGTGCTATGAAGAACAGAAACTATAGTACAATACCATCACTGCAAATGCACAGATATCTAAATGTATAAGGCACACTCAGTGGTGTATATTAGCAATAATAACCAAGTGTTGAATAATTACCATAACTGTGCGTTAATGATGTAACTGACCAATGCCACTTGATGTTTAATTTTGGCACTGAAGCATGCTGCGAGTAAATAATAAGGGGTGTGTACATGGATTGAATACAGATAATACACAGCTAGTCTTACTGCCTTGTCATATTGGTGTAGCTCGTTACCTTAAAGTGTAATGCGCGACAGGAATAATATTNCATATACACAGTGCCAAATCCCAGAAGACTGCTTTCTTCATATTACTATTTATTTAGGTAACAAACACTTACATGATCCTTATGGATCACCAACCATAAACATTTTTGTGAACATCATCATACACTGAGTAGCCTGGTGAAACTAAAAATTCTTTAAAATCCAGTTCTCTTTCTGCCTTTCACAAGGCTACTTTACCGTAATAGTAAGCATTTTGGTATTTTCATGTTCTGAGTTACTCTACAATGCCTCTGCCTATCCAATTCAAACTTTTTGAAAATTCAAAGATCTAAAACCTGTATAAGAAAAATACTAAAACCCAGAAGGTGGAACAGAATTAAAAATAATTTCATACGAAGTCCAGCACTTTCCTGACAACATACCAAAGTTACGAAATTAAACAATATAAGGCAATTTACCAAAATTCTCCATCATGATCCAAGGTCAGTCCCAGTCTCTCTCTCTCTGTATCTTTGATTCTGGACCACTCTCGATTTTTGGAACAAAGACGAGTGAGCTGAGAAGTGGAATATGCATAGCCATTCTGCTCAACATTACTGCTGTAAATAGAAAGAATAAACATCCATGCTGGAAAAGAAAGGTTTTAGAACCATATAGTAGTCTCCTGGGGGGCACGCAGTAGTGTAGTTGGTTGAGGCACTATACTACAAACCTGAAGACCGTGGGTTCGATTCACGATAATATCACTGGATTTTTCAATTAACCTAACTTTTAGCGTCAAACTTTGTCTGTGAGGTTGACTCACTCTCAAACAGAAATGTATACTAGGAATCTTCATGGGGGGTAAAGGGCAGCCCGCATGTAAGGCTGACAAACTCACCACCATCTGTGAGCTGTCTAGAAAATATGGGATCCTTGGTATCTCACAACCCTATGGCCCTTCACAGTCTGTTACAGGGATAGCTTTACCTTTACCAGTAGTCTCCTGATGATAACATATTAGTGGTTCAAGACAGAATGCCTTATGCATCAATTATAGAGGCACACACTATAAAATTTGAGTAGCTCTGTAAAGCCTGACAAAACTATTTCAATATCAGTATTTTACAATTACCTTATTTAGAATTAGAAACAAATAATTAGGAAGACCTGATGCAAGCATTACTCAAGTAAGAAATCCAAGAACTTCAAATTTCATCTCAAATACAACATAGTTTACTTACTTCTAGATATTGTTGAACAATGAAGTTTTGTCATTAAGACTCATCATTATATAAACATCACTGGATGATGTTTACTAATGACACACAAAAAGTATACATGACTCCATGTTATCAATTGTAAAAATCAGTCACTGTAGCTGAAATAATTCTAAGCACCATTATACAAAGCTCAGAAAACTACAACAATTTCTGCCATCTTGTTCAGAACTATGTTTATATGAGGAAGGATTAGTGCTAAGAATTCTGGAGTCCACAGACCTTCTGGATTCAGTACCGGACATGCGACCATCACCACGAGGATCTCGAAGTCTAACCATGGGAAAAGATTCCCTGCCCCTGAAACAAATTTAATCTCTCAAGATACCACACAATTTAAAAAACTGTGGTCATTTCGTATTATCTTTGAGAAGCAAAGATGTTAATATCTCAGTGCAGCAGAATATGTATTTGAAGCCTCACACTTAACAATTTTAGCATTTCATATTCATCCTTGAGACTCTTTTAATATTGGCACTAGCTAAACACTGCCTTCATGGAGCACAATAGTCACTCTGCCAGCAGATGTCTTCATCATATCCTATTTCTCAGATTCATTTTTATCCTACCAACTATACCTACATCTCCCATGTCATCACTTCCCTTCAGGCTTCCTGATGAAAATTCCTGCAGCATTTATCATCTACCATGCATACTACATGCTCCATCCATATCCTTATCCCTGACATGATCCTAATATTTGGTGAAGTGTATACAAATTACAAAGTTACTCATTATGCAGATTTCACCAGCTTTTTATTTCTCACTACCTCCATCTACCAATTCCAATAAAGCAGAGTTCTTCATGAGAAACTATTTGTAGTTCAAATAGGTTGATTCACAATAGCCTGTTATAGGTCCCTAAGTACAAGTAAAGTAAAACTATCCTTGTAACAGGTCATGAAGGCCCATAGGTTTGTGAGAAGTTGAGGGTCCCACATTATCTAGACCATCGGCTCAAAGATGGCGGTAAGGTTGTCAGCCTTACATGCCAGACGTGCTTTACTCCGCAGGAAAATTGTTTAATTAATTCCTGGTACTCATTTCTGTTAGAGGCTGAGTCGACCCCAGGGCCATATTGCAGCTGGAAGGATTAGGTCAATTGAAAAAAATCCAATGACCTCATCGGGACTTGAACCCGCGACCTTCCAGCTTGTAGCATAGCCCCTCAACCAAATACGCTACCGTGAGGTCCCTATCCTGAGATAAATGAATCCTGTCCAAATAACAAACCATTTCTCTCAGAACGATTTCAATATTATTCTCTTGTTTATACCTATATCTCCTAAGTGGTCTCTTCCCTTCAGGATTTCCACCAAATTTTTGCATGCTTTTCTATTCCATCCCATATGCTACATGTTTCATTCAATTAATCGTTCCTCATTTGATAATCCTAATAATATATGGCGAAGAATATAAATTATGAAGCTCCTCAACACAGAGTTATCTCCAAGCCTGTTCTCAAACAACCTTGACTTATCTCTCTCCAATTATTGTGAGAAACTGAGACACCACTTTCACACACCTGTACAAAGCAACAGAAATGATATCTGTAAATAACCAATCAATATAATTATGAAGTTCAACGAACTGGCAACAATAAAAAAAAATTGTTACCAATAACATGCACATTTTCTTTTTCAACCTAAAGGTATGTAAATTAGTAGTATACTAAAACTTACCGAAACAGTTTTCGTAATGAAGTCTCCCCCATTTTAACCTTCTTCACAAATGTTATGGCATAAGCATGACCTTGGCTTAATCCCATTTCATTCCTTTTTCCCATCTGACTAGGGCTCGATATCTATGTAACATAAAAGAGTTCTGATAATCCACTGATTTTTGGCAACAGAAAATCCTACAGTGGCCAAACTGTACATCCAAATTTCCAACATAAATACAAACAAAAGGAAATAGGTACACTCTGTATTCAAATACGGGGTACGCGGTAGCATAGTTGGTTGAAGCACTATGCTACAAGCCAGAAGGTTGCAGGATCAAATCCCGATGAGGTCACTGGATTCTTTTCAATTGTCCATGATGTGTATTTGTACCAACCGTCTTACAGTGCACACAATTTCACCTTTTTCTTCACTACGTTTCGGCACTAATGTGCCATCTTCAGGTGTGGTTTTATTTACGTCAAACCATTGCATTGTATGCCATCATGTCTCCTTTATAAAATGATTAAAATGTACATATGTCATGTATAATAATAAAGTTTATATATTAAAACTTTTAAAGATTTATCATCTATACGTCACACTTCAAATTTCGTGAATTACATCAATCCTCTCCTATGGGAGTACTCTTCCTATATTCTTGTGTGTATTGTGTCCTGTGTTGTGTCCTTCCCTTCAATTGACCTAATCCTTCCAACCGCACTATGGCCCTGGGGTTGACTCAGCCTCTTAACAGAAATGAGTACCAGGAATTAACTACGTAATTTTCCTGGGGAGTAGAGCACAGCCGGCGCATAAGGCTGACAACCTTACCGCATTCTTTGAGCCGATTGTCTAGATAATGTGGGACCCTCAACGTCTCACAACCCTATGGGCCTTCACGGCCTGTTACAGGGATAGCTTTACTTTTTATATTCAAATACACAAAATTTCCAAATGTGTTCTTTGCAATTTATGTCTCTGTACACAGAGTATCGGTGCTACTGAGCACACAAATAAACTGTTGAAAAACCCAATCAGGAACAAATTGACAGATTATCTTGCCTATTTCATTACAAGTTTAGATTAAAGTATGGCTACTACTACTCCATAATGGGTGGATTCCTCTCCTCCTTCCCACAGGGCAAAAAGCCCCAACCTACTCATCACCCATGTCTAGGCTCATCTTCCCTCTAAGATACATACTTCTCATGCCTGCTTCTTCTTTCACAACCCCACAAAAATCTACTTCTGACTTAAAGGTGATCTCCATGCCACTCTCCACATACAAGTTAAGAAACGTTATTCCTGGCAAGCAAGGGTGACTGTTTAAGAACATCAGTTGCTGATGGGGCTTTTGGTGCACTCCTAAGGCCCCTCAAAGGGCCATGTGGTCTGCACAACTTTCCCAGTCTACCGACCCTAATGGCCAACATAAGGCACCAATCCCCACTCTATCTCTCCACACCACACAAACTGCTTTTCAAAACAGAATGCCATATATACACCGAAACACATCAATCTACATGTTTTGACCCTGAAGCTGGAGGCAGCACGTACCTCCCACAAGTCAGCAATATCATCTACATGGTGCAATAACCCAAGAATAGAATAACATTAATAATTAACCACTGTAAAAACCTAAAATCAGTAACAATTTTCTTCTGTTTTTACATACTGTATTTTCCCAAATTTAATACTACCCCTTCCCCTCCAAATATATTGTGCACTCGAATTTTGAAATGTTAAATTACAGAAAAAGCTCTTTATATATAAGATGTCCAAAAAGTTATTGAATATATTCAATATATATAGACCTAGCAACCTATTAATACAATATATACATTTGGGGAATCTTTCACTATTAGTGCAACAGAGAACAAAATAAATCAGTTTCATTTTATATTTTCAGTGACAGCTTTTAGTAATGCACCTAAGAGAACTGAACATGTCTGAATATAATCTACACCTAATTTTATGGGATTTACATGAATATACGAGTATTGCAATACAGTGCGTATACTGATACTGCTTCACCAGTTGAATGCAGTTCCTTTATCTGTTAGGTGGTGGCCATTGCTACAATACATCAATAAACTTGAAAGACCTTGTCAGCTTATCAACTTCACATAGATAGCCATTATCAATGCTTCTGAGAATCCAGATAAGTGAAGGTTCAGTTTGTGAACATCACCAGTATGGCAAGAACAATACTGTGGAAATTAAGTTGCTTACACATGGATTGTAATTACAGCCACATACATAACATGGCAAAGACAATTTAAAACTGCTATGGAAAGTAAAAAGTCAGTTTTGGATACAAAACCACAAGAGATATTGGGATACATTTTGACAGCTGAACAACAGATCTGGGTGTACTTTTTAGTGGCAACAGGATTCAAATGTGCAATATATGTGTTTGACTTAGCATCTGGAATTGCAGTCGTGAATGAACATTACAAGGCAGGTGACAATGTCTGGGGAACACTTACTCTGTTGCTTATGTATTTCCCATCTTTTGTCTTTTTTATTATTATTATATCAAGACCAGACTTGTGGGATGAGCAAGATGGAATTCCTGGTACTGCAAAGTGGTTTGGTTACCGCACTGTACAATTCCTTGTTTACCCCATCTGGGTTATGCACAGGTAATATGCCTCTGATAATATATTTTATCTCTGAATAAATTTAACAGACACAAGTATTCATATAATATTTTCCATAATGACAATTCGTATTGGTGCATACTTCCATGGAACTAACATTATTACATACAGGTAACGACCACAAGGAACCTCTGATTACTGATTTCACTTTCATTTCCCAGATATGCTAAACAGTTATTCTGGTCAATTGACGCTCTCTTACATGATGAGAAAGAGCGTGAGGAAGCCCTTCTGACAGCTAACCGGCCAAGCCAGACAGAATTGTATTTGTTCTTACAACCATTCCTACAATCAATTCCACAAGCTTTCCTTCAAGTCTACATCATGCTTGCTCACTATCAACTAGATAAACACATAAGTAAGTACAGTTCTACATGCTTGATTGGTAATTTGTGCCAACTGGAAAAATATTAATATAGACAACATGATGTAGACCCTCAGGCCATGAGGAGTTTACCACTCACGAGACCAGGCAGCAATGTGGATCCATATTCTATTTATGGTTTATTTAATGATATTGTAAGTACCTGAGACAATACTACATTTAACGGTAGAATTAATAGTGAATAATGCATTGGAAAGTACAAGTATGTGGATGGGAGGTCATGACCTATCCTGGTATCTGGAGAAACTGAGAAAAATCACAAGAAAATGTCAGCCAGAATAGCCAGTCCCTTGACAGAAATTTGAAGCCAGAACCTCCCAAATATGAAACAAGAGTGCTAACCAATCGACCATAACATTTATTTAGTATTTCCATTTTTTAAACTAATGGAATTCATACGTAACTAATGCCCATAGCACTATACTTTAATTTGGTCATTGTGTATGCCTGTAAAAATCAAATTTTGGCAGAATAAAATTCTGATCCAAGTTACCAACTGCTAAGAACATCATGTTTTATACTTCGATGACTGGCTGTCTGATACTTCCAATCATTACTCATACACTGTGTTACTCAAACAAGTGAAGTGTTTGTTAAATGTCTTGGAACATAAAATAACAGTTACTTATTTTGCATAGCAGTTCACTAATCCAGTAGTCAGTGAAAACATGCTTGATTCTGTATGTTAGGAGTACTAATTATTCTGTTTTTTCCCTCTATCAGGCCAGATGCAAATTTTCTGTGTAACATCCTCTCTTATGCTAGTGACACACAAAACAGTGTCCTTCTTATGGTTTGAAAGCCAGAAAATTTTACAAAGGAAAGAGCCGTGGAATTTGAAAACACCCTTAATACTACAAACCTCTCAAACATCAAATGAAAAAATAACCTTAAATATGTCAAAGACCAAGGCTGAAGAGAGTGAGTTAGCAACACCATTCCTTCAGCCTCGTAGATTTCCAACCACGGCATCTGATCACCGCATGACCAGTTCCATGCATGATGATGAGGAAAACACTCACAACGAGCCTACAGACACTGAAAATGGAACGCTACTGCCAGAACATTCAACTCCACCTAAACGCATAACAAATCCAGAGGAAATAGAAGTAAAAAGAATGAGTACTCAACCATCACTTCCTGAGGACCCTGCTCCTTCTCGGCCAGATTCAACAAATATTAGCTTGCCTAGACGTAAAATCAGAAAAAAAAAACTATATGGGATGGATGAGGAAGATGCCCTTGCAAAGATTGTAGCTTTCCTTTGGTGGTTCTTTTTTCTCTTTTCCCGCATACTGTCTTTAGCATCTTGTGCAAATTTTCAGCCTTATGTAATGCTTGGAATACTTGTGATACATTACATCATCATTACGAGTCACTTGCTACACCAAACAGGTTTGTGCAGCATTTACAAAGTATTTACCCAATTATGCTTGGGTTATGTGTTCACTTTCTGTTTCATTGAATTCAGATATAAACTTAAAAATGTGACAGTGTTTTACATATGCTACTTTTTATTAATGATAGTGGAGATCCTTATCATGTCTCTTTCATGGTTTTTATCTTCTGAGCAGGACAGTTTCTGGCATAGATTTGTATTTACCATTATATTTGGTAGCTGTGCTATTAGTTTCCTGTCAATGGCTTTGTATTTAACTATTCTGAAACCAAAAGTGAAAACAGTGTATGTTGAAGAAACCTCACACCCACAATCAACAACAGATTCTACAGGAAGATGCTGCAGATGTATACCCACAATTCATTCATAATAATCAACACTATCAATGGCTATATCACTACATTAATTGGTAGTAATCCAATACCACTAAATGAACAGAAAGCACTCAATAAAAACATAAAGACCATCACTTTGAAGAGCACTTACATTATAGTAGTATGTACTTACCTCTATCTTACATTACAATGATTCATAAATGATTTATTGAAGACTGGCACTGTATAGGTAGCTCCTACCAACATTTTATGAAGGCTACGTGACATAAGATTTCATTCTTAATAAGATTTAAACATAAAGATAAATGTGATGTAAGGATTGCATGCTATAAAAATGCTTCCAGCATCATCATTTTTAAATACCTGCATCCAGCAACTCCAATGTGGCAGCTTAAGTTTTGGATTGTGTCCAATCCCAGAGCAATAGTACATGGAAACATAGCAACTTCCTGCGGCAACTTGAATTTAGGGATGGTAGAATTTACAACTTTTATTCCGCATTTGTTAAATGAAAAGAATGTATGTAGTAACATACAACAGCCCACAGAATTATACCTGTGGAATACTGAGACACAGGCAACCTAGCAGAAGATGAGAGGATTCGTTCTGAAACAAGCGGGGTCTGAGGTTCATTATGCACCTGCTCTTTGTTAATGTCTCGACCTTCAACTGGCAGTAAACATGTTACACAACAATTTAAAGTTCTGAGGAAGCTAATCTACTTTAAACTGAGGCAGCAGAGTGGCAGGGGTGGGGGCAACTAAATATTTTGCCACCTGAAATAGCATTTAGGCTTGCCCAGCCCTTGAATAACCAATACTGAAACTACTCGATGTAGGTTGATAAAGAGCTTTGAAAAAATTTAAGCTTCTATTAATATCAGTTCTCTTTAAGTAATGGCCATCCATGTACCCAATATAATGACACTTAATAAACTACTACTGCCAGGAACCTGTAATTTACAAAATATTAATAGAAACAAATCTATAATACTTTGTGTTTAAATGTAGCAACACAGTGATTTGTGAAGCTTCAAGGTTATATTTAGACCAACACCATCTACATGTTGAAGATGACATCACTGTTGAATCATAGTGTTAATAGTAATATACCAAACGTGTGTAGCTAGTTTTTGTTCTGTATGCCATTAAGTGTGATACATTAAATACTGTATACATAACAAAATATGATTTCATAATTACCTGTAATAAATATGCCAAAATTTGAGAATTCTTTCCTTCTGAAAGGACACAAATTATATGAAATTTTGAATTATGATCCTGCAAACTATACACCAACTAGCAGTGTTCATCTGAATCATCCAAGTAAAACTTTCTGCAGTTACATAAGTGGGTTCAATAGAATTTCAGTATTTTTTTCCTTATTTCTTTACTTATTTTTTAATTACTTAATTTCTTTCTCCATTTCTTTCTGTTCTTTGTTCTTTTTGCCTTTAATCTCCTACCCAAATTTGTACATTAAATATCTTGAAAGTCAGGTTTTTTCTGGCTTATGACACAAATGTTCTTTCTCTGATACCCTACAGGAAATGCAGTAGTGAAAAACATAATAACATGTCAATATTTATAACATAAAGTGTAGTACCATTGCTATGCAACAATCATAAGACAGTACATGTACTGCTTGGTAATGGCTCTGCAAACACATTCCCACAGAAACGATATTCAGTCTAGCACTAAGCAACCGCCCATGACAACAACAGAAGATTGTTGGAGGCAATGGTTTCTGTTGGGTCCACCCTGAGGTTATATAAGGACAATAACCCAGCTGCAGTCAGTTGTCAGCGGTTCAGTTTAGTGAAGTGACTTTAACTGTTTCTTGCATCCTGTTGTGTATTTAATCAATATTAGAGTCAATTTTACCGGTAAAATTGACTCTAATATGGATTAGTGAAGTGAAATAGTTGACTGGTGAGTGAAAGAGCTCAGGAGTGGAGTGGTAACCAGACGGTAACAGTGCAACCACAGAAGCTGAAGAATCTCCATTCCTAACATTTGTTAGCAGGAAACGTCTAGTGAAAACACAGCAGAGGAATAGCCATTGCTAAGAGCTGTTACCAAGTAACAACTAATGAAAGCAGTCTTAGAAAGCTCAGTATGGAGTGATCTGTTGATTTGTAATATGGAAATAAAACAATAGTATTAATTTGTAGTTACAACCTGTAAGTGGTCTATGAATCTATTCACCAATCCACATTCCATCTATAGTTACACATACCCATGACAATAGCAACTATTTTCTGCTAAATATTGTTTTACTTTTCCATTTCTGCATCAAACTATTTTTGTTTTAAATGCATAATTTTATGCTGCTTCTCACTGTATATGCTCAGGTCAATGAAATTTTCTGATATAGGCAAATTTCAGTCTAAGACAGGTTCAATTTTAGACATTTTTACTGTATTATCATTATTGACAGATATGTTCCTAAATGGCCTCTTACCAGATGTACAGCCTAGTAGAAAAAAATACATGTGAAGAGATGGATTTACAATAACAACAAATTAAAAACACTCAACTTATATTGATGGACAACACAAACACAGAATAAATGCATAAACACACCAAACATCCATGTCTTGACCTGGGATTTGAAAAAGTGATTCCAGTGTCCAAGTGAGCGAAAAGAGTTCATGCCTTAGACTGCGTGGCTACTGTGACCAGCATCTATAAACTTATCACCACATGACAATCATATGGTAAGCACTGTATCTATGCGCTTTAACTGAATGCACTTCCATGGTGTGCATTACAAAGTTTATTTCTTAAAAAAAGTGTCCATCTCCTATTCATCACAACACTTTACATTACTTTACATTCATGCACATAATTTTGGCTTCATCAGATGTCTTCAGTTCCAGAAACATTACAAATGGCTGACCATGCCAAAATAACTCTGCAAGTGAAGTAATGAAAAGTGTAGATGGACAAATGCAAAAAAATAAATTGAAACATCCCTTTCCTGCAGTCAGAAAAGGGAAGTAAAGAAATACAGGTGGAAAGGGCATACTTGATTACCAACAGCATTCTTCAAGCCTTGTTAACATTACTAAAAAATGGGAATAATTGAATCTAAATTAGTGAATCATCCATACAGAATTTTAATATCTACAGAGGTTTATGAGATACATAAACAAATTTTATTTAGTCTTACACAAACTAGGCTTCATTATGAATATATATGGCTGAAAATCAGAATTTCCTACCAATTTTGGTAGAAGTCTCTCATACTGAATTTCAATAAAGTCTGTAAACTGATTAAAGGGGTATATGAAAAAGTATATTTATGGCCATTTGCAAACCAGGCTTTATTATGGATAAATACGGATGAAAACTGGAACTTCCTCTTACCTTTTGGTACACATCTTCCACACCAAATTTTAACAATATCTGGGAAACAATTTGTGGGAGACACGGAAAATTCCTTTTTTGGCCTTATACAAACCAGGCTTTATTACTGATTAATACAATTTAAAATTAATTTCCTGATAAGTTTTAGCCAAGGTCTCCTGCTTCAAATTTTAATAAAATCTGTCCAAAAAAGGGGGTAGATACCAGGTCATGTTTTCCATTTTATGAAGAAAGCCTCAAAAAGAATTAAACACAAAACCTTAGGAGTGGACAAAGAATAACGAAGATGACACAATCTTGATGATGGTTATGATGATGATGATGATCATCATCATCATCATCATCTCATAAATTATAGTGTATGGCCTTCACTAATAGGCACAAATATGTTTACTGAGATCAAGCATTTTTCTAGACTGCATATTAATTTTCTTTCCTTGTGTGTCTTAAAACATAAAGTATATGACTTACAGTGATAACTGAACACATGACAGAATGGTCTTTGAATTCTTCCAAGAGCTTCTCAAATAATATGGAATGTTTATCTTCTTGTTCGTTGTAATCATTTGCCTTGAGATCCAGAGTTTCACTGACACCACCTGTGAAATCCACCAAAGCATCTGCAAGATGGCCATCTGCAAGCGCTTCATATGAACCATGCAGCCTGAAGACAAGATGGGAACACAGTAAGTCAAAGGCCCACACACAATAGATCAACAAATGGTCGCAGTGCATGGGGAAACCCACCCCTTCTGAATAATAATAGTAAGTCAGAGGCCCTCCCAATTCCTCTATATTTTATATTATTATTACGAAGCACATTTCCACTAGTGCTCTAAGTGGTATACAGTAAAGGTTACATAAAGAGTATCACTATGCCATTTAATACTGCTTTCTGTAGTGAGAAGAGTGAGTTCTGCCATGAATCAAAAACTAATGGTTCAGCATCCTCAATATCATACTTTTAAACATGTTCTCTGGGCTTGAACCACATAAAAAACCTCAGAAATTATACAAAACAACGCAAGTTTAATAACACAAGACATTACAGTATTCACACATATGTTACATCAAGGTACTGAAAAATTCGGAGACTTGTGATTAGTTGTGGTGACGTTCAGAGTTTCACATTCTTTGATAAAACTGCTGACTCTCTGCTACACATCTCATGTCTTGACCATGTTTACATGTTCTTCACATACATCATGAACAAACTATAGGAAGAATGCTTTCGTAACAAATGCATAATGTCTTCTCCTGACTCCGAGTAAAAATTTATAATCTGATTACATTTCATTGTAGCAATGCTTCAAATAGTACAGGTGTTATTGCACTTAATACCTCAGTTGCTGTCATTCATTTCTTTCCTATGAATACATTATCAGAATTTTATGAAATGCACACACAATTCATATGTTGCTTTATTATTTCATTACACATGTTGAACTAATATGCCAGAACAAGAGCCAGATATGTTGTTACTATGATAACTGCCTCTCTTCATCCACTATCCAATTTGTTCATTAAGCTGTGATTTCATGGTCAAATGTGCAGATGCATTAACATAACCTGATAGCTCACACAGTGTGTAGTTAAGGCAAGTGGCAACAAAAATACATAGACATTTCCTACATACTTGGCATAGGCTTTTTCAACAAGGGGAATCCAAAATTCATTTTGTACAGAGGACTGTGTAAAGAGCAGTTCATTATCACAGGTTGGGAGCAGATCATCAACCACTACATCCACCCACTGGCCAAACCTCCAAAATCTGAAGTGGAAAATGCCAGCATAATTGTTGTTTTCTGGATCCCATTCTTGCTGTCTGTATTCAGGAATTACCTGTAACAGCAAGCCTAAATATGAATTTAAAAGTAACAGTTAGTAACAAACAAGAAACATTCTATATAGAACTTGAACACAGGCGAATTTGAATGATGGCACAAACAAACCCTGAAATAACTCTGTTTGTTCTTCTGTGTTTATGTGAGAGAGAGAGAAACTGAGAAAAACCAAGAGAACCTCAGACAGGATAGCTGGCCTCCTGGCTGTGATATGAACTTGGGACTTGGTAAATATGAAAGAGCAGTGCTACCAGTAGCATAATGTTCACACCAGGTTTTTTTTTTTTTTTCAAAAATCGCATCTACTGATTAGAGTGGTCATGCAGGACAGACAAATAGACATGAGAGTGCCACACCTTTGCTAACACAAGGTAGTAGTAAATAAAACCCATTTCCATAAATCATTTACCAGTTTTAAGACATTACAAGTACAGGAGGAAAATGTGATTAATATGTGTATTTACTAACTTTATGATACAGTTCACCAACTGTAGCTAACACCGACAAGGCAGACACAATCCAGTTACTGCTCATGCGTCCTGCAATCACAGATTTAGAGCTGACTTGCTCAGCATACAGGCAAGGAAATGAACATATTTCCTGGTAACAGAACATAGAGCGCAATTAAATATTCAGCTTTCATCAGTATATTCTTCTTACTTACTTACTTACTCACTCATGGAGCTGAGCCCTTCTGGAGGAGCCACCAATTCTGCAGCTACTCAAGAATTTCCCAGCATTTTATGGAACACAAAGGTTCATCAGCCTGTTCACAAGAGCCCTCCACTGGTCCCTATCCTGAGCCAGATCTATCCAATACATACCATCCAATCCTATCTCTCTAAGATCCATTTTAATATCGTCCACCCACCTACACCTTGGTCTTCCCTGCGGTCTCTTTCCTTCTGGCTTTCCCACCAATATCCTATACGCATTCGTTTCCCCCATTCGTGTTACATGACCTGCCCACTTCATCCTCCTTTACTTGATCATACTAATTATACTTGGAGAAGAGTACAAGTTATGAAGCTCCTCATTATGCAGTTGTCTTCAACCTCCTGTCACTTCAGTATGTTCTTTTTATGGAAAAATAATTAATTATTGTACATTTGTAAAATTAATTATTCAAAGTCAGACTTAACAAAATAACAAAATGTACTGCCTGACGGCTTGTGTCTTAGCTTATTGAACAACAGCACTTCAAATGCAGAAGTCATATGTCAAAGAAAGGGATGGGTTAAGAGTAATGGATGGTGGATAGGTACAGATTTTGAAGGAGATAGTCATGTCATATTTAAAGGTGCTATCCCAGCATTCGCCTATGGAAAATCACATTTACTATCACAAGAGAAGATAGCCTGGCTCAGATCTGAATTGCATTTCTCTACAATACAGGTATTCCTCACTTCATAAAGCTAATCATTCTACGAAACTGTTCATAAGATCAGAACTCACAAATAAAAAAATATACCCGATACTTTAAGTGTAAACGCTGCAAACTTGTTCATTAATCCCAGGAAAATCCTCCAATATATTTATATAGTTGATGTTTTAATAACAAATAAACATTAAAATAAGGACATTATTAAGTGTTTATGATATTTACTGTTGCAAACAGAACTGTTAATATTGTATTCACTATTATCTTTCATTATTGTGCAAAGAAGTCTCTCAGTTGCATATCTTTGTGGATAGAAAACAAATATAAACTACATGTCGGTAGGGTAGCAATAACAATAAACAATATTAATCTTCTGAGAGGTCTACTGGCTACATGTGCGCTAGGAACTGAATGACTGTGCAACAATTATAATAAATGCAATGCAAAAGTATTACAGAGAAAAACACATTTCTAACTTTCTTTTCAACCACCACCTCCCCAAGTGTTATGTGTTTCTCCGACTTCATAAAATAACTTTTTATGAACATAAGTTGTCCGTTGTAGTGAAAATGAACTTTGTTAAGTGAAAAATATGTACAAATTAACAAGATTCGTTGTAGCAAAAATTCGTAAAATGAGAATTAATGAAATGAGGGATATTTGTAAGAGAAAATATGTACTTACTGCCTCCATCTTCTGTTCTAAATAATGCATACAGCAGCCCCCCCTCACAAATACTGGTAACCAGACACCAAAGTACATGGTATCATAACACAGAAGACCACAAACTCAAAGAGTTCACTCAAATTGTAATTCCTCAAATGTGCATACCTGTAAACTGCAATGATTACAGAGGGGCAAATTCTTAACTATTCCATAAATATTACAATTTTTTAAATAATTAAACAAGTTCAACCATCTATGTTAAACCACAAAAGACTATGATCATTCTGTAAATTATAAATTTTTGCACCTAAAGTTAAAGGAGAACCAGGATTTCTGAAGGTCACATCAAATAGGTCATTACAATACTAATGACCTATTCTACTCTAGCAATTCGCTACTATTTTAAATGGTAGCCTTAAAAAAGAGTACTTACCCCCGGCCGATTCCACTTTATACTTCCAGCGTCTGAGCTCCCTATGCTAGAAGAGGTTGGAGGAAAGTGAGGATCACCATATAGAGCATTTAACACATCGTGGTAATGCTTGTGTAACTTTTCATAGTTTTGATTCTTAAATTTTACTGGCTTCTTATAGAAATTCTTTCTCATTTTAGAACTTCTGACAATCTGGAATAAAAAATTATTATATTTATTAATGGCTGTATTAGTATGGCTTACAAAGCAGCCTGGTGTAACAATAACAGTCCAGACTTGTATTCTGAAAAAACCTCTTGTGAAATTACTGGATACCTTCACTAAAGATGGAGGTGAAGGACTAACAATCAGGAGTAATTTCAACAAATATGCCTACTCCCTGAAACTGATTAGACACTCGGATAGGTCTTGAGATTATCTCCAGTGTTTTGTTTACAACATATACATGGCTTCAGAGTATATTATATCAATTAAAGGAGCCAAATTTATGTCTTTTAGGTGGAAGAAAGAAGCCAGAAGTAAAATCCACATTAAAATATAAAACTGGAACAAATTATTGTTTTAATTATCCATTGACATTGAGATGATTACACTAAGCCATTAAAATGAAGATTTGAGAGTTCAAATCCATAAAATATTTACTACATCAACATAACATAAAAGGCATAAGGTAAAGGTATCCCTGTAACAGGATGTGGAGGCCCATAGGGTTGTGAGATGTTGAGGCTCCCACATTTTCTAGACAATCGGCTTACAGATGGCAGTAAGCCTGTCAGCCTTACATGCCAGCTGCCCTTTGTCCCCAGGAAGATTACTAGCACTCATTTCTGTTTGAGGCTGAGTTGATCCCAGGGCCATAGTGTGCCTGGAAGGATTAGGTAATATGCAATTACCTCATTTGGGATCAAATCTGTGACCTTCCAGCTTGTAACATAGTGCCTCAACCAAATACACTACCGCCTGCACCCCAACATAACATATTAATATGAAATACAGTATGAACCATGAGGAGTGACGAGCAGATAAATTCATTCCATAATCCCAATAATCATAATATGGAACAAGTCAAGTTACAAAACATAACATTCAGAAAATGTCTGTAAAAACGAAGAACCACAATAAACCTCATCACATACATAATTACACCTAGTGCTTCTTTTTTCTAAAAACATGTTTGCCAGTACTCTCATGTTCAGTTTCAGCCTCAAGGTCTCAAAACATAAAATGCACCTGCCTATGTGAGATGCTCAACGTTTGACAAATCTACTGACATGCTTCGTTTGCCATATGCATACTAGTTTGAACTGGCTGAAAAACAAGCTGATTATACCACTAAAAATTAATTAGCAATTACACCCAATATTTTGACATAACTACAGTTACACTACACCTGAAATGTATTTTGTTATCAAATTAACACACCAGTGCCAAATATTATTACTACACACATAGTTCACTATCCCTATACGGTATAAGATTATACATCAGCCTTATATATTTCTATTATTTAATCTGACACATGATTACTTTCTCTTAACCATTTCTTAGTAATGTACCTTCATCAACTGCAAATGAAGTAACTCTGACAGGATCCTAAAGCTGTACAGTGTCAGCCGAATGGAAAAAATATGCTTTGGAAGACTTCGAAAAGAGATGAAAATGCGCTGTTTTTTTCTTAAACCTACAACATGCCAACTAGAGTTAATAATGGTGGGGAGGATGGAAGCTTCTACTATTCAGCACACACTGTCATTCTTGAACTTGCAGATGCAGCAGCCTTTGTGTGATGAGTCATACAGAATGGAGATCCAATTGCACTTCCACAATGTTATATTCATTTTTATTCAGTTAACAATTATGTTACAGGTTTAAGCACAAGGGGACAAACAGACGGTTGCTTCAGATGTATTACTAAAGCATCTGCCTGCAAGGAATTAGGAAAAATAATGAAAAACACAAGACACAAGGATTGAAATTCAACCCTATTCATCCTATCACAATATACTCGTATGATGCAATTCTGTAAACACACTGGAGGAAGTCATCAATTCGTTTGTGGAATGTGATACCATTGACCTATAAGTGAAGGCACAGTGTAGTGTCATAGCAGCCAGGACTCCCCTAACATTCTTATAAGCCCAGACATAACTACAGGCTGGGGCTTTGGACAGTGTGAGTATTTTGGTAGACAAATCAGACTGGGGCCCACAATAAGATGAAGAGTTAATAAATATGGAAATTCTAATATTTAAACGTACGTCTACATTATTCAGATAATTATTTTAAATAATCATTAACAAAACATTAAAAGTTTATTCTGCATTTTTTAACAAAATTAACTTCAACAACAAAAAATATAACTTTAAAGACGGATATTATTTCGTCCTGCAGAAAACTGTACTTCAGGGACCACAAAAAAAACGAAAAGCTTTATGCGGTCCCTGTGTTACAACAGGAGCGAGATTTCATTATCTTTATAGTAGACCTAGAAATCAGTTGAAAATATATTCTTTAACCTCTCACGTGCGCATGCTACATGTAAATAATCATATTTTCCATAACATCACTCCGTCGTAATCTGCAGCACTCCGATAAAATTTGACATTTAGGAATGTATAGGTCAGAGTTATAAATAGACAGAGTGTAAAACCGACAATAACACTGAACAACAATAATGTATTCTCTAACATACCAATAATGCGAAACATCACTTCTGAAACGTGTCTCTTCTACATTTCCATTTCCCTCCGTTCAGTTTGAACACCTACATACTTAATACAATTAACACAAAGGGAATATCTCCCTGCCTGCTATACACACGCTGCGTACACTCCGGTGTCTCCGGTGTATTATTCAATGCAACTGCCTGGCAAATGGACGCGATGTATACAGTGCTACCACCTATCAACTACGGAAGAATAACATATGTCTATGACGGCGTCGCTAGAACTGCCGGTAATAAGGCCGAGTGCACAACAAGGAAACTAACCTCAACGCAACGCGATTTCCGACAATTGTTATCTGCCTCAGTAGGGCACATGTTACTGCATGGATTAGCACAAATTGAGGAAACGGCAACGCAACTCTCGGAAAGACTGAGAAACTCAACTTACAGGCAACGGGGCATGTCAGTCTTCTCACAATTGCGTTGCCATGCGGTTTCCTAGTATCAGCTGTTCTGAAACAGCTTCAATGATTCATTTGTTTCTTATGACAGCACGAAAGGTTGGTGATACGGAAACATTTCTCGGAAATTGCGGTTGCGTTGCGGTTGCCAGTTTCCTTGGTGTGCCCTCGCCCTTAGTGGAATCACTGCCAGCAGAGGAGACACGAGGTAGTTTAAAGGAAAGTAAATGTTTGGAGTGTCTTCAAACCTGCAGAATCATGTGTAAGGTAAAGGTAAAATTATCCCTGTGCTTAGCTGATTAAGCAGTGTGCCATACGCGGTAGCGTAGTTGGTTGAAACACTATGCTACAGCCCGGAAGGTCGCGGGTTCAAGTCCTTATGAGGTCATTGGATATTTTTCAATTTACCTAATCCTTCCTGCCACTCTATGGCCCTGGGGTAGGCCACTGAGGCATCCAGAGTCAAAAGCATTTCACATACAAAAACACAGGAAATATTGCAGGGGTATAATTTGAAACTGGAATCCAATTCTGTGTATAGAGCCAGGATAGCGCAGTCGGTATAGCAACTGGCTAAGGGCTGGACAACCAAGGAATAGGAGTTTGAGTCCCGGCGGGGGCAAGAATTTTAACTTCTCTGTCTCGTGCAGACCGGCTCTTTGGTCCACCCAGACTCCTATCCAAGGGGTACCGGGGGCTCTTTCCCCGGGGGGAAAGCGGCCAGGGCGTGAAGCTGACCGCTCACCTCCAACTAGTGCCGAGTTCAAGGAAACGTGGATCTATACATCCACTCTCCCATACATATTAATTGCTTAGTGCTTAATTACTTCAGCACAGCGACAACTTTACCTTTTTATACTCAATTCTGCGTTTGCCTTAACGATCTGGCTTCACCATGGCGCAGGATGTTACGGGAGTGGGCCTGTCATGTAAATGGAAGGCCATTGAGTCACCATCACTGCACATGTGACATGTTTCATGCAAGAATTAATTTAATACTGCTGAACTTGTAGAGTGTAATGGAGGGATTTGGCTATGAATGAGGATCCTTCAGGTTCTATAAAGAGAGAACTTCTTGAACAACTGAATACTCAAAAGCAATTGCGAAGCACTACTAATAGTATATTTACCAAGAAACAGTTAAAGTTAGCATTTATCCTGTTTGGCCAAAGAACGATGCATTCCCTTTAATTTCAAATTACTATTAGCCATGTGGTCTGAAAAACCTACTTCAAAAGAAGCATATGATTTCACGTCAGTGGCATATACTGTTACAGTATTCTTTGTTTCGGCATATTTTGGGCATTCTCTATAACAATTTCCATCTGTACACCGGTGAAAATTAACATTTGACATTCTTTATATGTGCCCCAGAATGTGGTGTAATAAGAACTGAATGATGATCACACAATTTTGGTGCGTTCAGACCTACCTATTAGTTTCATCACGCCCATCTGTTTGTCTGTACGTATCAGTGCTCACACTGCCTTGCCTACGTTAATCAAACTGAGTTTCACAGACCTACATAAAATTTTATCAAGATTTTAATTCATTCAGGCGTTTCTTCATTTTTGAGGATCTTGTTACTTAAAGTAAAAGAAAAGTAAAGTAAAGCTATCCCTGTAACAGGCCGTGAAGGCCCATAGGGTTGTGAGACGTTGAGGGTCCCACATTATCTAGACAATCGGCTCAAAGATGGCGGTAAGGTTGTCAGCCTTATGCGCCGGCCGTGCTTTACTCCCCAGGAAAATTATTTAATTAATTTCTGGTACTCATTTCTGTTAGATGATGAGTGAACCCCAGTGCCATAGTGCGGCTGGAAGGGTTAGGTCAATTGAAAGAAAATTCAATGACCTCATCGGGACTTGAACCCCTGACCTTCCGGCTTGTAGCATAGTGCCTCAACCACTATATAAATTATAATTTACATGTAACTGCGGTTCTTTGACAGATTTTGATTAGATTTGATCCGCAGTCTTATGTTATACGAGTGTGACTACGTACGGTTGCGTCCACTTAAGTTGATTTTAAGCCCCTCATTACTGAAAGACTTGAATATATACCAAGTATTCAAACGAGAAACTAAATTACTCCATAATGGTCACAAGGATGAAAAAACTATACACGCAATATATTATATAACATTTGCAAAACACACGGTCATTTCGAGAAAATCACAAGCATTAAAACGATAAACAGTATTTAATTAGTACCATCAAAATTCTCGTCCCAAGTCTTGTTATCTTCCTGAATTTAATAATCTGTTAAATTTACAGCCATGGACGATGCCAGCAGCAGAGAAGAAAAAGTAAGCATTTGCAGCTTCCCCCCACCCGTGACTTTTTAAAAAGTCAAGACTGATGACAGGAAACTGCCAGTATACTAGCATCTTTAAGTTAGCAAAAACATTCTTAAAGGGTAAAAACATGCTTGTGAGCAAATTGTTTGCCTGCCCCCTCCCCTTAGAAAATATTTGGAGGGGGGGTATATTTACAGCGGACTAACGTCACGCATAAGTAAAATAACATGTTTAAGGTCGGCCTGATAAAAATGTTTATCTAGTCACTTGACGACCCTGCTTTGTAAAATAAAAATTGCGAAATCCAAAGGAACCATAGCAGGATGCAATCTGGCAGAATCGTCTAAGGCAAGCTACAGTCCAAAAACGACTGTTTCACCAACATGAATATCAGGAAACGACGATAACAAGCGGAAATTATGATAGAGAAATGCCATCAGGCCGTTCCTATTGGAGATGTTCAAATTGTCGGCCATTAGTGCCCAAACAGAGGAAGTGCAGGTGCATTAATCACAGACACGCTCTATGTACACGTGTAATGTGTTTACGTCCATACTGAATTGAACTGAGCTGAATATAGACTGGCAGTTGTGTACCTAAAAATGATTTGAATTACCAAATTTGTTAAAAATAAATAAAAATAGAAAGACCGGCAGACGACGAAGAAACTAACAGGCATGTAGGCATTGTCAAGGAAGATTACGAATAACTGTAACAATGTTTTCAGTTTCGGAGATGCATCGTTCTTTGTTTCACCCGCTCGCCACGTTGAGGCACAGGATATGAGCGGGGACCTGAAACAGACAAAACAAACAAAAAAGAACTTCAGTATGAACACCAGGAAAAGGATATTGCATTAAAAGAATGAACACACAAGCTTACCTCTGCTGTTGGTACTCTTGCCGTCTCTTCTGTAATACGTCTTCTTTTAAATACAAAATTCTTCGGACAATATTCTGTACGTTTTAATATCTTCGATCGTGGAAGCGTACAATTGAGTGTACCATTTGTTTACTGAAATTGTCCCCGTTAAATGGACAACACAATTAAACTGAAAGATAAATGTACGCCGTTTGGTGCAGAAATAAAAACAAACGACATAACGAAGTAGAACTTTCCGTTTTCATTCAAGTCTTGAGCACTCGCCGTAAAAAAGAAAAGCAACATATCGACGACTTCTCTCGAAAAATCAACTCACATTTATCGTCTTCGAAAAAGGCCCCTTTTAACACAAAACGAAAACACAAGAACACGGTCAAATGGGAGACGTTCCGGCGCATGGAAAGAATTCGTCATTTAAAATGAAATCTTATCCTGTGTAGCACAGCCTAGCGGCTATTTACAGAACTGACCAACGTTAGTGTATTCAATTTAAACAGAATACAACATATTTTTTTTCTAAACAGAAGTTGCTTTTTATGGCAGTTAAGTTTTGTCGCAAAACACAAACTCCGACAAAAATCGGCGATTTTTACTGACACGTGAAATATAATCGTCAAAAATTCACGTTTGTTTTTTCGAGAAGTAACAATGTAAAACCCTTATATTATCGCCTCACATGATGCGTTTCATTGTGATGACAAACGTTGTCTTCTCCGTTGATGAAGCTGCGGCAATTTTGACTTACCTTGTGCACTTCTCCATGATGACAATTGATGTCTTCTTTTATGCAGAAGCTGGAGCGCATTTTGTTGACTCACCTTATGCGTTTCCTCATTTTAACATTTTATAGATTAAATACACAGCACAATACATACACACAAACATAACATATCATCAATTGAATACGCAGCACAATACACATCAATATTATATGTCATCAAATTGAATATGCACACAAAGAAATATATGTCATCATAAATTTTAATGACTGTTTTATATGTACCTGGTGCTTACAGATCCAGTTGCTTATCTTTCAACATTGAATTGAAAGAGGGATGAAGGCAAAATGAAGTTTTGCTTTATTGGATCTTTGTCCCTCCAATGCGAGTTATTCACAGAGAGAGATTGTCAAAGTTCTTTTTATCCCTCTCTCTCTCTCGCATTGATTTCATTGTTGTGCCGACCGAACCCTGTCAAGTTGCACCCTGTGGCATAAAAAAAGACACACACAGAAATACTGAAAACTAAACCCTCCTAAACCGACACAAAACCTAACTTCACGCAGCCTAACCAGAAATCCTACCATGGGCACCTAACGGGGTGGGCGGGAGGACAAACAACTTACAAACTAATAAAAAAATATAATTTCCACAGAGTGTCCAACTCGACCTTAACCTAAGCCCTGAGTCATGGCGGCTACCGCAGCGAATCCAGAGTTCCCTTGGCACGGTACTATGTTATCGTGACCAGCCTGGGGCCGGACTGGACCATGATAAGACAGTGTCGTGCTAGGGCGTACCTGATTTACTGCGAGTACCCATC